GTGTTCCAGTCTTGGTGACAGAGTGAGACCCTGTCTCAAAATAAATAATAGAGGTAGAGTGGGCTCCAAATTGGTTAACTGAGCAACTCACTGATGTCACCAAGGACTTAGGTTTATTTCATTTTTTTGCTTTGCCATTCTTGGTATCTTTCTCAGCTGGCAGGAAGATGGTGGTAGAAATTCCTAGACCACACACAGATAAAGCAACATACAGAGGAAGAAAGGGACCATCTCTTTCTGTGTTTCTTTGTTAGGCGTGAAAAAATCTTTTCCAGAGCTTCCTGGGCATCTTCCTCCTATGTCTTATAGGCTGGCATTGGGCCACATGCTTACACCTAAACCACCACTTAGGCTAGTTCACTTTTATGCCTGGAACAGGGGATGTGAGTCATTTTCCTCCAAGGTGCTTGCAATCTGTACACATCTGGGAATTGTGTTAAGAGGGGCAAAGAGTGGACAATTTCCAGTGTCCACCCCTGACTGTCTTGAAGTAAGACTGGAGCTGGAGGCTCTGCTTTCCTCATGTCAGCGTTGTTGCCAGGACCACTCTTCTAATGTTTGCAGTGATAACTGCAGTCATTTTAGACTTCATATAATTTAGAAAAAGTGAGGGAGAGAGAACCACCATTTGGTAGCTTCTATGGAAAAGAGAAGAGAATTCTTTCCCCAAACCCCCAATAAGTTCATTCTTGGATTTTCTTGGCCTAAATTGGTAGTCATTAAGCAATTTAAACCTGAGGATGTGGTCACTCCCACTCAAGCTACCATATGGCTTAAAATGGGGAAGAGAAGTTTCCCAAGGAAAATTAGGGGAAAAGGGAATAGATACCAAAGATGTTGATGTCTAGCACAATAATGACAATTCAGGGCCCTCCATCTTCCGGCCCTAAAGGGCAATAGCTTTCTCCTTTAATTAGTCTGTCTTCCATATAGATAAGGCAGAGTGATAAGCATGCAGTCCCCAATCTTTATGCACCAGGGACTGGTTTTATGGAAGACAATTTTTCCATGTATTGGGGCAAGTGGGATGGTCTCGGGATGAAACTATTCCACCTCAGATCATCAGGCATTAGATTATCATAAGGAGCAGGCAATCTAGATCCCTTGCATGTGCAGCTCACACTAGGGTTCATGCTCCTATGAGAGTCTAATGCCGCTGCTGATCTGACAGAAGGCTGAACTCAGTCAGTAATGCTTGCCTGCCCACCACTCACCTCCTGCTGTGTAGCCTGGTTCCTAACAGGCCAAGGGCTGGTACCAGTCTGCAGCCTAGGTGTTGGGGACCCCTGCAATAAGACAAATAAGACTAATAAGACAAAATCCCTACCTATTAAAAGTTTTTTTTTTTAAGTAGAGTCTTGCTCTGTCACCCAGGCTGAGGTACAGTGGTGCAATCTCAGCTCACTGCAACCTCTGCCTCCTGGGTTCACGCCTTTCTCCTGCTTCAGCCTCCTGAGTAGCTGAGACTACAGGTGCCTGCCACCATGCCTGGCTGATTTTTATTTTTTATTTTTAGAGATGGGTTTTCACCATGTTGGCCAGGCTGGTCTCGAACTCCTGACCTCAGGTGATCTGCCCGCCTTAGCCTCCCAAAGTAATCCCAAAGCCTGGGATTACAGGCATGAGTCACTGTGCCCAGCCTAAAGACATGACTTTCTAAAACTGAACTGCCCAATATTGTAACCACTAGCCGAATTTGGATACTGAGCACTTTAAATGTAGCTGATTCTTCCAAATCGAGACGAGATGTAAGGGTAAATACATGCTGGATCTTAAAAACTTAATTAACAAAATGTAAACTGTCTTAATAAGTTTTATATTGATTATATGTTGAAATGACAATATTTTGGATATACTGGGTTATATAATTGTAAATTAAATTAATTCAGCTACTTCTTACTTTTGTTGCTGTGACTATTTGAAAATTTAAAATTATTTAGCTTACATTGTATTTCTATTGGGCAGTGATGCTCTAGAAAATGAAATAGTCATGGGTACTCCATCAGTTGTGGAAATAGGCAATGATGGCAGTAAAGCAACAAATGCAGATTACCCCAGAAGGTGTTAAGGATTTCATTTTACAGTGAAAAACATCATTAAGATTACATCTACTGAATCAGTCCTTTTCCTTATGTTCTGTGATACCTTGTTATGAGTTTACTTTCCAAATCTTTTTTGATTTAGTTTAGTTTGTCCATCAGAGAGTTTTATGTATATATACAAATATATATATACACACAAATATATATATATACACACACACAAACACATATATATATATATATACATACACAAAAAAGTTAAATGCTGCCCTTCACTGCCTGTTGTGTAGCGTACTTAGATTCTGGAAGCAAATATTTCTTAGAGGAGCATTGATAATATGGCCACTTCACCGTTAATTTTATTGTTTTCTTCTCTGTCATATGAGTATGAGGGAGGGTATGAAAGCTCACAGTAGATTCTTGAGGTTCCTTTTGATTTAAATGTTCATTGCCTTTTGATGAGCGGATGAGCAGGAACTTTGCATTCTTTAGAAACTAGTGTATCACTTCCTTATTTTGCAGTTCAAAATATAAAATCTTTGAGGATGCTTGAATTTCTAGACCTTTATCATATACTTAGAGGTATATTTGCTGATAGTTGTGCATTGATACTGTGATAGCTTCTTATTCTCCTGTGAAGAACTGATCTGAAGTTGTGGAGCTTTAGTTACCTGCTGCTCTTATTCCACCTTGCAGTGGCTATCACATTCCTACAGGTTTTCAAAACAGCTTCCCATGGAGCTCCATTCACTGAAAGATATAGATGGCTCCATTCCTTCCAGAAAAAAGAAACTAATGCCCTGCTTGCCAACTTTTGGCTGTCTAGAATGGAATGTTATTCTGCACAGGAGGAAGCACGATGGAAAAAGGGTTCTTCTACCTGCAGGAAATCTAATGTTTGCTCTGTAGTGAAGCATGTAAAAAGTTGAAAGAAAGGAAGCAAAGGAAGAGGCTTGGTCATTAGAAGTTCAGTTTGTGTGAGGTTTCCTTTTTTTCCTTTTTGTTTTTCTCTATCCTGTTATACCATCATTGTATTTTAATGTTTTTTTTTTTTTTCCTAGCTAATGGGTAAATTGCTTTTATACTGGTGGTGTTTGGGACCCACTATGAATACCATGGAGAGACTCACTGGCAAAAAACGGAGAAGGAGAAAAACGTTGTTTCTTCTACTTACTTCCCAACATTTTGTGAAGGAGAGTCAGAAAAGCTGTTTTCTACACATATTCCCTTTCCCCTCTACCCATTCACAGTGATTTTTGTCAGCAAACTAATATGCCATTGATTTTACAGTCAGGATCAGAAATATGCACCATTCTTGACTTAACTGACTTTTTCCCCCTGAAAACAATATCATTTTTACATTGGAGAATATGTGCAAAAACTTATTATTCACAAAGCTGAATGTATTTTGCACTTGCCGGGAACATAAAGGGTTAAATTGAAGACTCAACAAAGACTGGGATGAAAAGAGGACAAGGTGGGGGCCATAGTTGTTCCCTGTAGGCATTCACTATTTTGTAGCCAGTGGCCCTTTTTTTTGTCCTCATCACTAGCTCCTTTAACACACCTCTGGGATTTGCTCTGAGCTTGGCTGAACATTCTTAACCTTTGATTGTATAGCAGGGAGAGCTTTATTTTATGAAGCTCTTCTGATTCAGACACATTTTGACATGGCCTAAAAAGCCATTCAGTAAGTAGTAAGTGCACCCTATTTCTGAGCGGGATACAGATTATGGATGTGTTAAGGCTCAATCAAGGTTCTGGTAGGAACTGGGACTGGTGTGAAACTCCAGGATACTGGGAGAGGGTTGAGAGTGAGGCCTGAGGTCAGGACCCCGGGATGGAGGAAGAGGCTTGCAATGTCTATGGTGGACATTACCTGATAAATTTCATTTAGTCATTTTGGCATGAAACAGCCATATTAAAATGCCCTTTTCTGGCTTGTTAAATAGAAGCTACTCAATGCATGTTTGTTGAACTTAGCTTCTTAACCGATGGTATCTTTTCAACCCTGCTTCTCTTCTGTAATTTGGGCCCCACAAGTTACCCAGATTATGGCTGACAAACTTGAGTAGCACTGCACATTTTAGTCAAATGAGTCATATTTTTGAAGGAAAATGAGGTCAAAGAAAGACTTGCTGTACATAAAAAGCCCCTTTGAAATCCCCACACAACTTTTTACCATTTGGTTTCTTTTTTGCTCTCTTTTTGCCGTCACACGAATTGGTACAAGTTGTTTTAAAATCTCCAGACCTCAATTCCATGACCCCCATCCCCCTTTTTTAAAATTAAGGGTTTGGGTTAATAGTCTTTAAAGTTCATTTTAGTTAAAAAAAAAAACCTGATTTTAACACCTCATTCACTAATTAAATTGCTTTTTTTTAGTCACTATAATGCAAGATAAATAAATTTGTCTATATTTAAAAAATATATTTACCAACTTTCAAATATAGGCTTGCCTATATTTTCATTGTAGTGTGTGCATGATGCAGACCTTTGGGACTATAACCTTTGATTTCAGCTTGTAAAATGTCAGGTCCCTTGGCATAAACCACTTTGAAATTGGTGGGACCTGAACTCAAATCCTTGGCTCTGACAAGTACTGGCTGTGTGACCTTAGGCAAATTACTTATTTTTACCAGGCTTCAGTTTCCTCATTTGTAATATGGTGATACTAATGAACTTTATAAAGTTACTGTAAAGATTAAGTGAGATAATGGGATATAAATTGTCTAGCGTGAAGCCTGGCCTATAGGAAACCCTCAATACATGTTACCTAATGCTACTGTCTGAAACTGTGTCCCAGAATCTCTCTAGCCAACATAAAAGCACATTTTATGATGTAACTCTTTACATTGTAAATTGAGGAGTATTCCAGTCAATAAATATTTATAAATAAATTAACAGTCAGATGTATTCCAAGTGGAAATGGACCTGACATTTTATTTTTCTTTGCAGATCTTATATTGCACTTTAAACACACCTAGAATTGACATGGAAAGACTCCTAGGAGGACAACTAGGACTAGAAGATTTCATATTTGCCCATGTGAAAGGAATCAAAAAAGAAGTGAATGTGTATAAATCTGAGGATTCACTTGGTGTCACCATTACAGATAATGGTGTTGGCTATGCTTTTATAAAGGTAAGTTTTAAAAAATCACAGTGTAACCTAATTGAGGATAACATTTAAGAAAATCTACCAGGCCAAAGAAAGTTAGAAATGATCTTCAGAGTGAGAGCCAGCTCAGCAAGGATGCATGAATTAGTAATGTTTCACTTTCGTTTAAAAAATGTTCAGACATCAGTTTGTGTTTACTGTTTTCTTAATTTCTTACCTTTAGTTTAAACTTCCCCTAGAATTTGGAACTAACTGAAAGGAAAGTCTAACCCTGGTGCCTACTTATTATCCATGTAAGCTTTTCCTTGTCTGTAGGTTTTAACATCTGATGAATTTCAGGCTTATTTCCATCGAATTAGTGTTATTTCCAGCTGTTTATACTTTTGACTGCCTTATTCACTTCTTTAAAAGTGCTGTTCAAAATTTTAGGAAGTATGTAAAGTTGGATCTCTGTATCTGTAGGTTCTGTATTAGTGGATTCAAGCAACCACAGATTGAAGATAGTTGGAAAACGTGGCATCTGTACCGAACATGTGTAGCCTTTTTTCTTGTCATTATTTCCTGAACAATACGGTACAACTGTTTACATAGCATTGCCATCGTGTTAGGTATTATAATCTAGAGATGATTTAAAGTATATAGAAGGATGTGGATAGGCTATATGCAAAGACTACACTATTTTATACCAGGGACTTGAACATCAGTGGAATTTTGGTATTGATGATGGGTCCTGGAATCAATCCCCCATGGATACTGAGGGCCAACTGTAATTTCTTTATTCAGATACAAAGAGAGCAACACAGAGCTTCAAAGGCAAGAGAAAAGTTTGAAATGGTGTGAAAATAAGAACTGAGGAGAAAAGTAAACTCATCTCTTAAAAATAACAATGCTATTATTGTAATAGTTATAATAATAACGGACTTATGTTGAATGCATGCACTAGGCACTTTGCATACAATTTCTCACTTAATTCTCACAATTCTATTTGGTTGGTGTAATGTTTTTTCTTTGTATTTTTTTTGTTGCAGTATAAGACATTTTTAATGTACAGCTTAATGAATGTTTACATACTCACCCCTGTTTAACCATCACCCAAATCAGGATAAATTGCATTTCTGCCACCCAGAAGGCTCATTTGTGCCCCTTCCCAGTCAATAATCTTTCTCTGCAAAGTAGCCATTATTCTGGCATCTATTGCCATGAACTTCATATAATCATATATACTCTACTATTTTTGGCTTCTTTTGCTCAAAAAGATGCCTATGAGATCCATGGATAGGTACTATTTCCAACCCTGTTTTACAGATGTGGAAACAGGATCAGGAAGGTTAAGTAGCTTGCCCAAAGTTAAACAGCTGGACAAATTCAGGATTTGGATCTATGAGGTCTGACTTCAGAGCTGGCACTCAACTAATAATTAATGATAGACTTCATGCAACAGGGAATATTTTATGCCTTTATTTTGTCCAAATCTTGATTTGCTGATGCATTATCACCATTAAATAATCTTAGGGAAGTTATCTTAACTGACTGTAAATGGGACTTTCGCTTCCCACTTGATAGAATGGCTATTTTTAGCTCTACAAAAGATATGACTGTGCTGAAGGTTGTGTGAGTGACCAAATGGAAAATCTGTGACTGGGAAAGTCATATGGGATTATCCAAGGGAAGCTCAGGACATGAGGCACAGGCAGCAGAGAAGGGCTTGGAAGTTTCACAAACATGTGTGGATTTTTAAAATCTTCGCCTCTGACATTCAGAGCTTGTCTTTCTATTTTTTTAAAAAATGCTTTGTCAAACATGTGCTTGCCTCAGAGTACTAGTCACTAACCCTGTGGAGACACAGGACATGTTAGCAAAGGAGAAAGCAAGGCATAATCTAAACTGCCAACATATTGTTCAACTTAGAAGAGAGATGCATATTACACTGTACACATGGTTGATGAAATTTTTTAAAAATTGGGAGAGGATAATTTCAAACTTATATAAAGATTACAATAATAATACAAAGAACTCTCATACATCATTTATCCAAATCTCCAATTTTTACCATTTGCCACGTTTGAGTTTTTTGTTCTGTCTTATACACACACACATATGTACTCTTTACCCCTTAGTACTTCAGAGTGTAATTACTAAGAACAAGGATATTCTCTTATATATAACTACAGTACAGTAATGAAATTCATACAGTCTGATATTGATATAATACTTTTAAACTAATCTATAGTTCACATTGTAGGCTTATCAGTTGTCCTAATTGTATTCATTATTTTCCCCTCATACAGGTCCAATTTAGGATCATGTATTTCTCTTCCTTAATCTAGAATAGTTCCTCAACCTTTTATAGGATGTCCTTGAATTTGGGTTTTTCTGATGTTTCCTCATGTTGATAAATAGATTGTGCATTTTTGGCAGGAAAATTACGTAAGTGATGCTGTGTCCTTCTCAGTGCAGCACATCAGAAGGTACGTGATACTGGTTTGTCTCATTGTTTGTGACGTTAATTTTTGTCACTTGTCTGAGGTAGTGTCCACCAGTCTTTTTCACTACAAAATTATTTTCCTTTATGATAAGTAATTGTGGAGAGATGCTTTGATATCATGAAAATATCCTGTTTCCTTACTTGCATGGCACAAATTTAGTATCTGTTGATGAGTCTTGCCTAAATTAATTTTTCCTATAATGGTGGAAAAAATGATGATTTTTATAATTCCATCACTCCTTATATGTTTCTCTGAAAGCATTTTATGATAGGGAAAAAGCTGCCCTTATTTATTGTCAACATGGGTACATGACTTTATATTTTACTCAATGGGTTATAGTCTATTATTATCCATTATATTGATGCTCAAATTTCCTGAGACTTGGCCTGCAGGAACCCCTGTAAGTGGGCCCCCATGTCCTTTTGACATGGCTCCTGTCATTTTATTGAGTAGGTTCTTACTTTCTAGAACACAACAAGATGTTCTTGTATCTCCTTTTCCCCAGGCCTAGAATCAACTATTTCTCTTAGAAGCTCTGATTTTTACTAGAGATTGATAGTCAAGTTCTGGTGTTAGCTATGCTCATACATTGAAGTCAAGTTCTAGTGTTAGCCATGCTCATACATTGCTACTGGAGTGCATTATTTCTAGATCCTTTCAGTGGTAGAATTAGAGAACGTGTTTATTGGAAGTTATGAATTGGGCCAGGCGTGGTGGCTCACACCTGTAATCCCACCACTTTGGGAGGCTGAGGTAGGTGGATAACTTAAGGCCAGTAGTTCAAGACCAACCTGGCCATCATGGTGAAACTCCATCTCTAATAAAAATGCAAAAATTAGCTAGATGTGGTGCACACCTGTAATTCCAGCTACTTGGGAGGCCAAGACAGGAGAGTCATTTGAGCCTGGGAGGTGGTGGTTGCAGTGAGCCGAGATCGTGTCACTGCACTCCAGCCTGGGCGACAGAGGGAGACTATGTCTCAAAAAAAAAAAAAAAAAAAAAAGAACTTGTAATGATGCCTCTAATTGTCATCCTGCCCCACAGGGTTATTTCTTAGCTTCTCCATCAAAATTTTTATTTTCAAAGTCATTAAAATATTTACTCATTGTAGAGATCTTTCACCTTCCTGGTTAGCTGTATTCCTAGGTATTTTATTTTTTTTGTGACAATTGTGAATGAGATTGTCTTTCGATTTGGTGCTTGGCTTGGCTGTTGGTGTATAGGAATGCTAGTAGGGATTTTTGTATCTTGATTTTGTATCTTGAAACTTTGCTGAAGTTGTTTATCAGCTGAAGGAGCTTTTGGGTCAAGACTATTGGGTTTTCCAGATATAGAATCATGTCATCTGCAGAGATAGTTTGACTTCCTCTTTCCCTATTTGGATGGCCTTTATTGCTTTCTTCTGCCTGATTGCTCTGGCTAGGACTTCCAATACTATGTTAGGTAGGAGTGGTGAGAGAGAACATCCTTGTCTTGTGCTGGTTTTCAAGAGAAATGCTTCTGGCTTTTTTCCATTCAGTATAATGTTGGCTGTGGGTTTGTCATAGATTGGTCTTATTATTTTGATGTACGTTACTTCGATACCTAGTTTAATGAGAGTTTTTCACATGAAAGGGTGTTGAATTTTATCAAAAGCCTTTTCTGCATCTATTGAGATAATAATGTTGTTTTTGTCTTTAGTTCTGTTTATGTGATGAAGCATATTTATTGATATGATTACGTTGAACCAATCTTGCATCCTGGGGATGAAGGCTACTTGATCATGCTGGATTAGCTTTTTGATGTGCTGCTGGATTTGATTTGCAAATATTTTGTTGAGGATGTTTGCATCAATGTTCAGCAAGGATATTGACCTGAAGTTTTCTTTTTTTGTTGTGTCTCTGCCGGGTTTTCATATCAGGGTGATGGTGGCTTCATAGAATGAGTTGGGGAGGAGTCCTTCCTCCTCAATAGTTTCTGTAGGAAGGGCACCAGCTTTTCTTTGTATATTTGGTAGAATTCAGTTGTGAATCCATCAGGTTCTAGGCTTTTTTTTGGTTGGTAGTTTATTTATTACTGATTCAATTTCATTATTGGTCTGTTCAGGAAATCAGTTTCTTCCTGGTTCAGTCTTGGGAGAGTCTATGTGTCCAGGAATTTATTCATCTCTTCTAGTGTTCTAGTTTGTGTGCATAGTAGTGTTTATAGTAGTTTCTGATGGTTATTTTTATTTCTGTGGGGTCAGTGGTTATGTTTTCTTCATCATTTCTAATTGTGTTTATTTAGATCTTCTCTCTTTTCTTCTTTATTAGTCTAGCTAGTGGTCTATCTTTTTTTTTCATAAAACCAACTCCTGGATCCATTGATCTTTTGATTTTTTTTTTTTTTGTCTTGTTCAGTTCAGCTCTGGTTTTTGTTATTTCTTGTCTTCTGCTAACTTTGGAGTTGATTTGTTTTTGGTTCTCTAAGTCTCTTAGTTGTGATGTTAGGTAGTTAATTTGAGATCTTTCTAACTTTTTTAATGTGGGCAGTATAGTGCTATAAGTTTCCCTCTTAAAA